TCAAGTTTGATTCATGGTCATTAATAGCGCTTAACTAAATTACTACGAGGAAATTATTCCTTTTCATTTTTGCTCTACTCTTCATAAATCTCAAAATTCCAAGTACATCTTTTCACTTAATTCGAAGACAGAACTTTACTGACTCTCTGACCAGAACCAATCCTTTGTTTGGATGAGCGGCCTCCAAATGATGTGTGATCGTTAAAATATCTTTGAAATTTCCATTTAAGGCCCGAATGAATGTTGAGGAAAGTGAGAACTTGACTCCAGATTGTAAAATTTGGCTTGTCGTGAGAAAAACTTGGCTTTGTCACGAAAATCTTACTTATACCCTAACCTAGACCTCTGACCTTGCGCCTTACTTTCAAAACTCGCTAAGTGAACGTAAGTACTTACGCTCTATTTTCTTGTCTATGATTGGTGGATTTTGCTTGTGTGGCCGTCAATGATTGGCTGATGGACTTACGATCTCTTAACTTTTTTTGAAAGTATGGGCCTAACCGTAAATCCGTAAACCCGCTAATATGATACTCTGTGCTATCATTATGAGATGGATAATGACCGCATAACGGGAATTTATTGAAGCATTCTGTTCAGTCTATTCCTGATCATTGTCCTCAAATTTTCGCTTCTCGACCAAAAAAAAAAAAATCCAGTCAGACCTTACATCTTTCCGTAATCTTCTCGCATATGATGTCGCTGTGACTAATATTACATAGATATTATTATATATTTTAACAATCCACTTCTCATCACATCAATTATAGGTTATAATTGTATAAAGTATATCTTGTTACAGAAATTAGCATTTACTTATATACTTCATGAAAATTAGCAGAAATTAGCATTTAGGTGAATTCAACATCAATGTTTACGCGATCTTCCCGTAAAATGCGTTGTTTCCATTATACAGGAAAATTCTAAATGATTTACCCAATTTAATAAATTCGTATTTATTTGAGTATCTATTGAATTATTTATACACAAATGAATGAAAAAAGTTTATATTTTTTACAAATTTATAAATGTTGAATATGTCTCCTTTGTGCTGCACGGTAAACATCTAAACGGTAGCCAAACTCGTCCCACACAGGCGGAACAGGACGTAAACGGAGAGGTGGGACGCAAACAAAGTTGCTGGCAGAGGCGGGACGTAAACAGAGTTGCTGGTAGAGGTGGGACGCAAACAAAGTTGCTGGCAGAGGCGGGACGTAAACAGAGTTGCTGGTAGAGGCGGGACGTAAACAGAGTTGCTGGTAGAGGCGGGACGTAAACAGCTTCCTTGACGTAACCCCACAAGAAATAAATAAATTGTCACATGGTTGATCTGAAGAACCGTATCACTGCTACGGTGCACTCAGTAACAGAAGATATGCTTGCTCGTGTGTGGGACGAGTTTGGCTGCCGTTTAGATGTTAGCCGTGCAGCACAATGGGGACATATTGAACATTTATCTATGTATAAATGGTGTACTAATCTATGTATAAATGGTGTACTATGTTCCATTGGTGTACTAATTATCCATTTTGAGTTTATATTGAAATACTTACGAATCTTAAGAATTGGATCCATCATTTAGAATAACCCTGAGATTTACATTCGCAAAGTTTTGTCGTTATGGGACTGCGCCCCAGCAAGTAGTAGAGAAGAAAAGTATGGAAATAGAAATGAACCGAATCGGTGAAATGATGGCCATGAGTAGCCTTAGAAATGAACTGGATCGGTGAAATGATGGCCATGAGTAGCCAGTGCCATGAATGAGTACACCAATATCATGAATGAGCAGATCAGTGCCATGAATGAACAGATCAGTGCCATGAATGAACAGATCAGTGCCATGAATGAGTAGATCCATGCCATGAATGAGCAGGGCAATGCCGCAAGCGAATAAAGTATTCACTGCATGGCCTCATTCACTGCATGCATGGCCTCATTCACTGCAAGCCCTCATACACTACATGGCCTCATTCACTGCATGGCATTCACTGCATGGCCTCATTCACTGCATGGCCTCATTCACTGCATGGCCTCATTCACTGCATGGAGCAGTGCCGGCTATCGCGAAGCGCACACTTCCGGGTGCCTGATACAAATTTAATGCGCAGTCTGGGCATCAAACCGAGCTGCGTGTTTAGTTTTGTGCGCTATAAGAAATAACTATTTTCTGATATTCTACTTTTATACCTAATTTTCGTTTATTATACATGTAAGTTAAAGATTTATAAAGTAATGATTACAGGCTTCACTGCAGGCAAGCCAACATAAATACCATCAGTAGCAGGTTTTTCACTAAATTCAGTTCTTCCGCTTTCTTTCATCTCCACGAAAATGTTTTATAAGTTTCAATCATCCCCGTTCTGCGTCTTAGGTAGCAATTTAATTAAAATGTACCACGCGATTAGTATGCATCTTCTTATTTTCATCACTAAAATTACTTCGTTGAGTCATGTAAACTACGTTATTTTGCTGCATTTTTTATAAATTTGTTAAGATGAGCCGATATTTTGCTTATATGCTGCGAAATTCAAGAACGAGCGTCGCAAATCTCTCTTATATTGCAGTATTTATACGGAACTGTAGTATCATGGATACCATGGTCGAATATAATCAGCTGCTCTGAGCAACGCGAGTCGCAGAAAATTACTCCAAGACATTCTATTAGAATGGAATCTACGCCATGATGACGCATTGTAAAATGGGGTTTTTAGCTTTAGAATTGACATAAATTACAGTATTTATTAGACAGAAATTTTTGAACTAAAATTTAGCCATCATTTCTGAAAACTTTGTAGATTCTGCTGAAACGAGGATTTGGATAAGTTTTCTTTGATGCATATTGGCTCTAGTTTGGAAATTCCGGTCATAAAAGCGATTTCTTTTCGCCTGGTGAAGATCTAATCGGCACATTGTTATCTATTGGATCGATGGGTGATACGTCCAGAATACCTGCCGTGCCGAGGCACTCCGAACCTGAACAGGATATATCTTATTGAAATAAATTAATTGATGATTTTTATGGTATTGCGAATAAAAAATAAGCTAATACTATACAGGAGAAATTTTTCAAGTTGAAATTAAATTAAATTCACCGCATCTCTTTCATTTATTTTCTAACAGATTTTAACAGATTTAACCGTTCGATCCCATAATTTTAAATCCCTTAACCAGAATTCCTTTTATAATTATACATTTATGCCAGAAGCCGAAAAATCGGTTAAACCGCCAATTCACATAAAACTCTCATTTGGCACTGGTTTAAAAAAAAAAAACATTTTGTGACGTTTAAATACATTTTTTACTAACAAATTTAAAAACTAAATTAAATTTTTGATCCAATCCTTTCTTCCCGTTTCTCCGTTTCTTTCCTCCAATCATATTTAATTCTGCCACTAATAATAAATTTTCAGGTGCAGGCAATATCCCGACACGATAAGTATCCTGGATACGCGCCCCAACAGCCCCTATATACAATATCCCGACACGATAAGTATCCTAGATTTCTGGAGAAATGAGTACTCCTTAGAGCTCAACTTTGAACAGCTGATACAAATGAGATCTTCACATCGTCCACAGGTAACTGTCTGGACTTCGCTCAGAGAGATCTCTTTGCAGTACTTGCAAACTTCCATCTCTAGCTGGGCTGACAACACATTACTTTTGACAAATATTTGTTAGTAATTATTTATTTTTAATTCTGAAGGTAATAATGTAGCCGTGTAGACTGTATACATCTTTCCCTGGCAACGCCGGGTTCACCTGCTGCGTATTGATTAAATGTCAAGTCGCTTATCGTTATTCACATTCATCAATGTGTTGTTGTATAGTTGTTCTGCACTGGCAAGAGATAACTATAAAACTGGATGAGATTAGCATGTAGGTAGTACAATTAATTGATTATTTCTAACTTCATCTTAAATCCATGGAAACTGCTCTATTAAAATGCCGGGAGGGAATCGACAACGCGTTGATAAACGAAGTGAAGAGATGCAAAATTAATTAGCACGCGCGATGGCCAAATTCAAAGGAACTTGAAGTCAGCAGGTATAATATAAAAAAAATAAAGATAATATTCAATATAACGATAGCTAGTTTTGAACTTTCTCAAATATTAATCTCTCATGCTAATACACTATTATTCTCTCACTACTCGCAAAACTCGATCTCAAATATTTTGTTGACATGGTAGACGTGGAGCTCGCCTATTAAATATTTTGTTATCATGGCACACGTGAAGCTAGCCTATCAATTACCTTTTTCGCAGTGAACGTGAAGCTCGTCTGTTAATTTATTTTTAACCTCATTGTTTGGCATCATCAGATTATCAGGCACTAATTGTGCCTGATACGAGAATTCGTCCCTGGCACTGCAAGGGCCCGATATTATAAATTCAGCTGCGTTGGCGCAAAGTTGAGAGATGCAGATATCTTAAATTGTCAAAAAAAAAATAATGAAAGAAGCTTATGGGCCTGTGTATCTAAATTGTAATGTGCTCGTTTATTTCCAGTAGAAAAACGCAATTGCATAACATCGCTCAATGTTGTAAAGAATAAAACGTTGTGTGAATACGTTGTAGTAATACAAGTTAACTCGTCTCATTCTATAACCTTCACTTTATGTACGTCAGTGATCGGATCGTATGCGATAACGTATAAATTTGTTTGATAAGCTTTTACTTAAACTTGATACAGGAAAAATACTTGCACTAAACATGCATACTATGTATTTATGATAAGCCTGGTACGCCACAGTGCTGAATGTCACAATAGCATGAAATAAAAATTATAAACAATATATGCTTAAGTACATGTTTATCTAAACTAGTTTATGCTAAGAATTGCTATATCCATCGGTACATAAAACACGCAGTTTTCAACTCACTATTCTCATTGGAAAGCCTCATGTTTTAACATGCGAGCACCTTAAACAAAAATAATATATCACAATTTGAGAAGCCGTCTTCCTACATGAGAATTAACTAAGTTAATAATTAATGGCATAGATCAGTATTTTTCACATGTTAGTTCACATNGATCCTGCATGCGCTCCTCACGTTGAGCTGCGATCCTGTTGAGGCGGTGATTCCTGCAAGAGTTTGAGTTTTTAAATTTCGCTGCCTGACTAACAGAAATAAAATTAAATTTCAAGTCACTTGAACAAGCCTCGGTTTGCACATCGAGAAGCTGAAACTTTACCTGCAATATAACAAGTAAAAACGGTTTCAGCGTTTGTTGGGCCGTAGGCCTGTCGCCGATTCTTAACATCGCCAAAAATTCACAGCTTGTTGCGGCCTCGAACACGTAACTCACTGCTTCAATTTTGCTTTGCTTAACTGACCGGCCTCTTCGCCAATTTTTACCAGAAACTGGCGCACAGAGCTGGGATCGAACCCGCACCTCTCTGCTTCAATCCTAGTAGTGGTTTGAATAGCTTCATACTTTTATAATTTTCTAACGCTATGTTGCCATCAACTTCAATAATCGAGATCGTGGCAATGGAAAATCGAGTTGCCAGTATTCGAGCAGCTGACCTGATTACTTCAGCCGTGCGGTTGTCCAGTTTGCACTTGAGCTGCTCCTGGTCGCCGTAAATGATCCTCTCAGTCTTGGGCAACTTGTTGATCTTGACGAGCAGCCGCCGCTGCTTGCTGCTGAGCAGCTGCAGGCGCGGCAGGAGGCGCTGCAGGAAGCGCACCTGGCGAGAGAAATTCTGGAGTAAAGGTCTGAAAAAACACCACACGAGGATGTGAATTTTCACAACTCAATACAGGATTGCTGGACGCTTTTGAAGACATTCATCTATAGTTATCCTCGATGCGCTAAGAATAGTTATGATAATTTTACGGTAGTGTAAAATATTATTGATATCGTCCGCTTTATTATTGCTTGTTAGGGCCACCACAGGTACGGAGAGACAAGGCGTTACGTCTGCCTCCCACAGCGGTAGGCTCACCGACCAAGCATTGCAGGTTTCATCTTTATTTTGGCAAAGAAAGCTTTCTGTATTTAAAGCAGCATTAGTAATTTTTATCAAATACAGCATAAACAAACTGTTTTCCCATTAATTCCTCAAGTATGAAACGTAGTTTTCAATACGCGCGTTATTTTTTTGGCTGGTGAAACGCGTGTTGATGATTGTTGAAGCTTTGCTGCACGGTACAACATGGTCCAGTCTCACCTTGATGAACAGCTGCTCGTTGAGGTACACGAGTTCGAGTCGCGACTTGAGGGAATAGAGCACCGCGTCTTCAACAATTTCCTGCGGCAATACAGGAATAAATAATTGTCCGTCAGCCGGGACAATAGTAGAGGGAAAATAACATTTGCACACATCTTCTCTTAATTCTTTTGCATGCTTCATTTTCATTTATTAGGCATTAAACATTTACTTCAGTATTACACTGTGTTGAGCGCTTGGGTTTAACTATATTAACCGTTATGGGAAATCTTTATTGAAATTCATAGCTAAAAGAAAAATTCAATGTATGTAACTCTACATAACCTCCAAGCAATATATTTTAATTTCAGAATTTAAGTTCATTTCCAGTGGCACTCATCGAATATCAAATGTGTTGTCAGATTTATTTAATTGAAGAAAATTTTGTGATATTAATGTTCAGAGCAGTCGAACCATTCTGTCGATGCTGAAATGACACTCGACGTGCATTTTAAAGACTACCGCTAGTTTTTCCTTCGTTGTGACGTGCGCACCTTAGCATCAGTGACGGCGAGACCCGTCATGACGTTCATCAGGACGAGGAAGATGAGGAAGAGGAACACTAGGAAGATAAGCACGGTTGACGTGGCGTAGACCGTGCCTGCCTTCGTCAGCTCCTCGCTGATGGACGAATATTCGAACTCGCCCGTGGACATGACGATGGCACGCGGCAGCGTCGTCCAGAAGTCCGCGAAGTCCCCGCTCTGTTGGACGAACATTAGTGAGGGAGGAGTGTTTTGCTCCTTCATTACTTCAGTATAGTTACTTAGGGATTTAATTCTCATTCGAGCACTTGATGACCTACGTGTTTACCGGTCCTTTTCCATCACTAGCGAATATTTAAAAAATAAACCAATTTTTATTCCAAAGGGCGGATGCTTAATTAGCAATTGTTAGCTCCGGATAGTTCAGAAATTATTTGAGACCTGTAGACAACATAGCAAGATTTTCTAAGCTCAGAAAAATAAATGGGACATGTTTTCCAAATATTGAAATAGTTTCTCTCCACAGCACGAACAAAAAAATTAAATCGCTTGTTAATTTTTCTTATCGGAAAGCCTGATCGTGGCTTACCTGTGCACCGTCATCAGGCTGGAGGATGATGTTGAAGCTGATGCTGAACGCGATGATGAGGAAGCCGAAAAGAAAGACGAGCTTCAGGAAGTTCCAGGACACGTGGCGCAGCATTGTGATGTAGATGGCGAGCGGCGGCGCTCGGCCGAGCACCAGCACGAACTGATACCTGGGATTTAGATGCAAAAAATTGTACAACATTTTAAAATATCATTGGAGAGTAAAATCTTTCGGAGTCAAGCTCCATCATCAGTTGCTCCACACTCCTAGAATGCAAATCCAATCAATCAGTAAACAATGGAACAAAACTGCTGAGATTGAAATCTAAATTGACAAATAAACGACAAATCAATTTAGAAGTAACCGCAAGCAGACATACTTATCTGAAGTTCGTAAGTCAGGGAAACCGGTTGTAGAAGCTGAAATTCTAAAGTCGCTATCGGAACCCAGGACACCACTCTGCTCGGTATGAACTCATACCGCTGAATAATTGTTATATAAACTTGATATCGGGTTACTAAATATTTATCTTTTGATCGAACTAATCTACGTTATCTACGCTTATTACATGTTGATCGAACTAATAATTACCTATGGTCCATGCTTAATACCTGTTGATTGAACTAATAACCTGTTACCCCAGCTCAAAACTTGTTGATCGAACAAATAATTACCTGTTACCCACGCTTGCTACCTGTTGATCAAACTAATAACCTGTTAACCACGCTTAATACTTGTTGATCGAACAAATAATTGCCTGTTACTCACATTTAATACTGGTTGATCGAACTAATAACCTCTCGCCCTATAGCTTAAAACCTGTTTATCAAACGACTAACCTGTTGCCCATTAAACTCAACCCCTTGTTTTCCGACTGCAACCCTCGTCATGTACAAACAGCAGAGACTGCCGTGAATCGATGCGTGGACAAAAGCGTTAACTCTTCGCCTTGGGGAGGTAACTTACGTTATCAGGCCTCTATAGGTACGTATTATACTATAGGCTTAGTATTTTTATATACTGAGAAATTGTTATTAATATTAAGTAAAGACTCAAATGGCTGATAGTGAGACCTGCCTCATAGATAGCTGAAAATTTATGTATTATATAAGTTACCAAGCTATTGGCATTCTCAGTTGTTTGATATATGCATTTAATTAATTTAATTGTCAGCTTTGAGTTCATACATATTTACGTATATTCAATTAACAGAACTTGAATTTAAAATTTAATATATTTAAAATAAATAGTAAATTTTAATATCCTTAGTCTATTTAAACCGCAAATTCACCAAGAATTTAAAAGAAAAGAAAACGTCAACAAGTTTACCATATCTTCCCTGAAAACATTTCGGAGACAAACTCCATCATCAGTACAAAGAGTATTGGTTTTTATGTCTGTAATTTTTATGTTCTGGTATCGTTTTTTTGTGCATCTTTTGATTTTCTATTCTGATTATCCATACATTTTATTTCATTTTAATTCTATAATTTTCCTTATATTTCATTATATTTTAATTTTATATTATATAATTGCTTTCGTTGAGAACATTGTGAACTTCCTTGACGTTTCTTTTCTTCTAAATTCTTTGTCAAATTGAATTAATGAAGCTCACCATGCAGCGATCATCGCCCAGGCCGCGAGGTGTCGAGTGGCGGACACAGACAGCGGTACCAAGCAGGCCACCAGAACTGCGACGATCAAGAACCATTCCAAGTAGTTCTCGATGCACCGAAAGTAACTTTTATACGTGAACGCGATCTGGAAAACTTCCTTAGCCATCATGTAGACCGTGATTATGAGGACAAAAGCCATGCAGGCGGTGCGAGTACTTCGGTACCGCAGAATCTCTTCCTCCAGGTGCTGGGCTTCTGTGGAGTTGCTTGACGAAGCCAAGTTTTCTACCACTCGTAAGTTCTTCAGCCCGTACATAAATCCGGTGAGGAGTATTACAAACATCATATAGAGAAATAAATTCAGAATGTAAAGTGGAAATACCTTCCTCCACTTGGCGTAAAGGAAAGTTTGTATAAGTGGATGTTTGATGGAGTTGCGGTGTTCTTGGCTTTGACTGACGTCGTATAGTGGCGATACTTCGTTCTCGAGCTGCTGAACTTTAGTGGGCTCGCTGGGGGTGGGGCTCATTAGGAACTGGTAGTTCAGCTCAAGAGTGTAATCGGGATCCAAGGTATCATCCTCGTTTTTCTCAATGGTTTGGGACGGAACTTTGATGCAATTATCCATGGTTTTCTCAAGTGTCTTTGCAATTAAAGCTTTAAGAACCGTTCCATTGTCTTGCTTCCCGATCATTCGATGCTCGCCGAGATACGCTCCATGTTCGAGAAGAATCGCCATAGCTTCTTGGTTGTTCATTGCACCGGCAATGTGGAGAGCAGTTTGGTTTACGACGGTCCCTTCTTCCTTTTGATTAACATCTATTAAAACGTCGTTTTCAAACAAGCGCTGCAAGCATTTATTCGGATCATAGGATTCTGTAACAGTTTTATCAGCAGCTTTGTTATTTTCTAGCGCTTTTTGCAGTAGAGAGAAACTTTTGTGCCGCAGATCAACCACGCGGTTCCTGTTATTCTTCTTCATCTCACTGATGAGGAGGTTCACGATAGCCACGTGCCCACGAGCCAGTGCCCTGTGGAGGGCAAGCTCGCCGTTCCTGTTACTGGACCAAGGGTCGGCCCCGGCCTGTAGGAGTGCCTTCACCCCCGTCTCGCTGCAGCGGTCAACAAGGTAGTATAAGGCTTTCTTCGACCCGAAGTAGCAGTTGACCGCCGCACGAACTTCCTGCGAGCCACTCACACCCCTAAACATATCCGCGATGCCTTCAGGTTGGTTGAGTATAAGAAGGTTGAGGAGTTTCGCAGTCGCGGTTTGAGGCTGTGGCAAAGTTGTGGGCTCGATCGGAATGTTCGGAAAGTTATGCTTATCTAAAATTGACCGCGTGCTGGTGTCGATATTTGCTCCTTTCTGCACCAGCTTCTGACAAAACGTTACCAAAGAGCCTGTCTTACTTGGCATTTTCCCTGCCGCGGCTCGCAAGGGAGTGATCTTACTGTTATTCAAAGCTTCAAAGTCCAAACTTGGACACTTGAGCAAAGCATCAACGCATTTATCGAAGTTCTCAGCACTCGCAGCAGTGGCCGCCGCATAAGCCAGCAGGTGGAGGGGGGAATGTCCCTGATCATTGCGTAAGTTCACATTAGCTCCTGCGTTAATAAGTTTAGTGATGGCGTCACTATTAAGACCCTTCACCGCTGCATGTAGAGGCGTGTTGCCGTCGATGTCTGGAGAGTCCAGGACATCTAGACCTGGGCTGGCGTCCAGCAGGACCTTCAGGCACTCTGGAGCGGGGCTCTCAACAGCGGCATGGAGCGCCGTCTTGTGGTGCCTGGAGTCTTGGGGCCGGGCCACCAGCTCCAGCGTCTCGTGCTCCAGCTGCTGCCGCAGCTCCTTGGCGTCGTCTTTCTCAATGATCTTCGAAATTTTCTCCCATTTCGGCATCTTTGCGTTGTCTGGTACGAGTAAACGGCGTTGATTTTCGATGTCGACTGTCATAGTACCTGAAATAAAATTGAGATTTTAAACATTTCTTCGCGCGCCGAGCTTTTGTTCCCCTGCGAAATTCATGAACGAACATCGCAAATCTCTCTTATATTGCAATATTTATACGGGCCTGAAGTATCATGGATACCATGGTCGAATATAATCAGCTGCTCTGAGCAACGCGAGTCGTAGAAAATTATTCCAAGGCATTCTATGAGAATGGAATCTACGCCATCACGATGCATTGTAAATGCATTCAGTTTTAGAATTGTAATCTAATACATAAATTGCAATATATATCGGACTGAAATTTTTACTAAAATTTAGCCAAGATTTCAAAACGCTTACTAGCTTCTTCTAAAACGAGGATTTGGATAAGCTTACTTTAATTCATATTGGCTCAAGTTTGGAAATTTCGGTCACAGAAGCGATTTCTTTTCGCCTGGTGAAGATTTAATCGGCACATCGTTATCTATTGCATCGATGGGTGATACGTCCAGAATGCCTGCCGTGCCGAGGCACTCCGAACTTGAATAGGATATCCCTTTTTGGTATGAATTAATTGCTGATTTTTAAGGCATTGCGAATAAAAACTAAGCCAACAGGAGAAATTACAGGAAACTATACATGAGAAATTTTTCAAGTTGAAATTAAATTAAATTCACCGCATCTCTTTCATTTATTTTCTAACAGATTTTAACAGATTATACTGTTCAATCCTATAATTTCAAATCCCTTAACCAGAATTCCCTATATAATTATGCATTTATGCTGAATGCAGAAAAATCGGTTAAGCCGCCAGTTTACATAAAACTCTCATTTGACTCTCGTTTTAAAATGCAGACAAACTATTTTGCGACGTTTTAATAAATTTTTTATTAAGAAATTTTAAGAATAATTAAATTTTTGATCTAATCTTCTCTTCCCGTTCCTCCGATTCTTAATTTCCCCATTTTCTCCAATTATTTTTCTTCTGCCGCTACCAATAAATTTTCAGGCGCAAGCAATAACCCAACACGATAAGTATCCTGGATACTCGCCCCAACAACCCCTATATACAATACTGAAACGATATTACGTTGTATAGACCACATGTGTTTATTGATCGAAAATATGTTAAAATAAACTTATTAGGATTTGTTTTCATGCCTAATTATTTAGATTATTTATTTATAGCAAATTGTTTGATCCATAATTATTATGTCCATGTTTTGTAGATTGTGAACTCTGAAGTTTTTATGGCGTTCTGCACCTATGTGGCGTTAAGGTGCGCGACATTTATAGTTCTGAAAAATCAGAGAGCATCGAGAGAGACGACAGATAGCACCGGAAGACGAATGAGGTAACCAACATTTACATAAAATTACACCAATTCCTTTGTCACCATCTCATGAATATCTGTATCATCTGTAAAGGTTTGAGGAACGATTACAGTATAACGATATGCCGGTGAAATGATAAACCATAAGAATTTGCCGTGCTACGGAACCTAAATGAATGCTCGTGTAAAAATGGTGCAGAAGTTTCCTTCGATGACGTGAATCTTTTTTTGTGCACGAATCCCTTGTTGCTTAATTAAAATTTATTCGACCCCAATTGACTACACTTCCTGTATATTAAGAGAAATTATTTGACATACTTGGCCGCGGTGCTGGTTCCGTTTGATCCTCCCATCACCCATAACAGTTCAGGTTCATTGTCTAAAGTCATCTCGAGGTTGAAAAGCGGACTATTTATTCATAAATTTGACAACAAAGGATAAACCGCATGTTCTTATTTGTTAGTCATTATTTAGTGGTTAACGTCCGAGTCATGCAAGAAACGTCAAATTGACCTCTGTAGGTTAATTTGTGCATTTAATGGTTTTTTTTTTTTTTTGTTCTGTGTTCATGGTGTTCTTATTGATGAAAATTAATTGATTTCAAGCAGATTATGGGCGAATGAGATTTGTTGGCTGCCTCTCTATGCATGCGAAATTTCAAAGTCACCTACGAAGTTGGATAAGTTTAATAATTTTCTAAACACGAGCAGAGAAAGAATCATGCCTAAACCGCAACCTATAAATTGGTTATTGTTTTGAAGTAAGCAGTTAATATTTTTCAGTAGGATTTACTTGTGACGAAACTTCGAGAGTTATTTCCGTAGACTATTTTTAAATCCTCCTGGTCCATATATTTAACCACATTTTGAAACTTTTTGTAATTAGATGAATAGATTCAGGCTTCTGTGAGAATATTTCAATTGGAAAAATTCAATTTTCTTAGGCATGATCCGAAATTCTTAGATCAGGATCTAGGTCTCTATCCCGAACAGCAGCTATTTTGATTTCTTATAATACATTTTCCGTTCTTTCCAGACCCACTAATTACGAGCATGTCATTTGGGTATAAACTTCATATGTATTTATTTACATTTTATGTAGGGTAATATTTCTTGATGCATCGACCTTGATGATCACTTTGAACTTTATGCCAATTTTAATGAATCGAATATCGAATGAAAAATGAAAGATCAAAATAATTAATTAATTAATATCGAGGCACTTCAAAATGTGACATCAATATCATAATTCCTTGGATCACTATAATAATTCCTCTGGACGAGCATAAACTATTAGACAACGTAAAAATCAATCAAAAAATAATTTTTTGATAAAATTCCAGTCGGCACTCGCTCAGCCAGCAACGTTGTCTCGTCTGGCAACATTTCTCCCCAACGACACTTGCTTGCCCGGGTCCCGGAGGAGCAAACGTGCGGAAATGAGCGACGAAAATCTTTCATTTTTCATGTTGCTTTTTAACCCACATTGACATCAATTCACTTGATTTACAATGTCAATATTGTCCCATTCACACGTTTTTTTTATTTTCTAGTTAAAAAGGATCAAACGCCCAACATTGAAGTCTAAATGCTCAATCACGTTCGAAATCAAAACAAACGCCTAACATTGAAGTCCAAGGAAAAATGCTCACCAACGTTCAAAATCAAAATGTTCAGTTAAGTCCACAACATCAACAAAGAACTGAACTGCTGCCAAATGTACATGACATCACACGAGCCTCGAGAAACTGCATCGCTGGGTGGTGACGTCAACCACCCACAGCCGCCATTTTGTTTCCAGTTCTCAACACGATTTAATAAAGTTCCAATGTTTTAAATGTGCCATAAAACACGAAGCATAGCCAAGATTTACTTTCGTGAAAAATTGTATTTTAATAGGGAACTTAAAATTTTCGAGACCTCCCCCTTCTCGAGGGAAAGATGCAAGCGCCACAAAGATACGGAAGCAAGGTCATCGCTATTAAAAATCATTTCTTCTCAGTATCAAAAGTGAGCTATTCAGTCTTTATATTTTGGCTCTTACGATGGGCTCCGGAAAGAGTTCGTATAAATTCGAAATTTTCTTACATAAAATTTCACTATAAAGCTGGAATAACCTTCCTTGGCTGCACTTGTACAACTCTCTCCACGACAGACAAGAGGCTGCTAGTTATAGGTGCACTTCGATAGCACTCAAGTTCCTTCATTTACTTGCTTTCCTTCGGCCAATTTACTAAGGTTCATTACTATTATCTATTAGTTTGCTATTTGACAGCTAAACCGTTCCCCAACATCTTAATCACTGCTTAACCTGGAGCACTGATGGCAGAAGCTGTCACTTCCGTAAGAGTTGGCGCCATCTTGGAAGGTGGCGGTCACCCACTGAACGGCATCGCTTTCAGCCATATGTCTTCATCTTCTAAAAATATCATTCATATTCACTATCAAAATCTTGAGATTCAAAGAATGCGGAAAATTAGAAAATTACAAATTTTCCGCACATACACAGTCATTCCGCTTTTAATTTTCTATTTACTTTGTCGCTTAATGCGCTTTGGAAATTGCAAATTTACAACAGGAATATTTTTTAATACATGAATTCATTTCAGCTTCACAACAATGTCGCATGTTGCCAAATGCACGGTCGATAAGTGCTTGCTTCCGTCTTGAGTTCAATTCACTTTCTTATTAAAACAACTTCAACTCCAACTCCCGTTCCCTTAAACAAGAACTCCCGCCACCCATTGTATTGTACCGCACTATAATGTGTGATACAGTGGTCACTGTTTATCGTAGACATATAACAAGTTAACTTGTAATAACAATTTATTACAAGTTAGCTAGGTAACTTAATTAGTACCATGATAGTGATGATGGTGCAGTCGGGAGGTTGCCTGCGCACCACAGAGAGGTTGCCTGCACACCACCGACAAGTTGCCTGCGCACCACCGAAATGTTGCCTGCACACTACCGAGAGGTTGCCAGCGCACCACCGAGATGTTGCCTGCGCACCACCGAGAGGTACCCTGTGCACCACCGAGGTGTTGCCTGCGCACTCAGCGGTTGCCTGCACCACGCACCGAGGGCTCCCCGCGACTGGCGACCAAAATAGGCGCTCTCGCGGCGAGGGGGACGACGCTATTCTCTGCGCCTCGGCGTGTGGTGAAGGCAGCGCAGGTGATGTGAGCGTGTGATGACGTGCTGTACATCACTTCATTGATGAATGATGACCATCCTCCAGACATCATTAGCTTCGATAGTGGGATTAGTGGTCATGTCTTAATATCAATAAGGATACATACAATTCCCGAGCCTCCGATAAGGATATGTACAATATAGCTTAAATAATATGCATCGGACTAATTTAAAATTCATGTAGATGTGGTACCACTTATGTAATAGTGAAAGAATAGAAGATTATTTTAGATTCAATCTCCGGACAGCCTAGTGGAATATAATAATGTATTTAAATTTTCTAATCATCGACTGAAACGTTTTCCGGCTCACGTAGATTTAGCGTGCACCCTCTTTCGCTATAATCGCATATGCACTTAAATAACCCTCCTGGTACATAAATTATTATGCAATACAATAGCTGGAAAAGCTGACAGAGTCTATCTGGCATATTCACTTCAAACTAGCTACTTACAAATTGTTGACACGCGTCAATAAAATGCGTGTTTCATAAATTATACTC